TGTTTCTCGCTCTCCTTTCTTCAGCATTCTTCTTGTTTTCTCCCTTCCGGATGCCTTTTAAGCTCAAGCCTTTCCTTCCCTTAGTCGTTAGTTACCTGCCTTTCCTAGGAAGCCATTTGGCCAGTCTGCCTTCTTTCTCTGGAGATGCTCCTTTCCATGTGTTCTCTTTATCTTTGTTTTGCTGTTCTAGGTGTACGTTTCCAAGTTAATACCTTCCTGGAACTGGATTGGACCATCCAAATCTGACCTCTGATTTTCTTTTTAGGACTTCATAAGCTCCTCAGGTTCAACATGCCAGACTACACACAATATCCGCTCTGTCAACACTGTCCTTTCTTGTGAATTCCAGACAGTGAGACACTTTTTGGGCTCTGTTTTCCTTGTGGATCCTTCTGGTGACCAGGTGCTGTTATCTGAACTTCCCACACAGCTCTGAAGTTCTGAAGTCCATCCTGTCTCCTCCACCCCTGCTGTCATTGATTAGTTCTTCCTGTCCCTGTGGTGGACTTGTCCCATAGCTTGCTGATTCATCTTTCTTCCTCTTTTTATTTATTTATTTATTTTGTTCGAGACAGGGTTTCTCTGTGAAACAGTCCTGGCTATCCTGGAACTCACTCTGTAGACCAGGTTGGCCTCGAACTCACAGAGATCCACCTGCCTCTGCTTCCTGAGTGCTGGGATTAACGGCCTGCACCACCACGGCCCGGCCATCTTTCTTCTTTTAAACCTATAGCTTTCACTCCTAGCCAGGCTATATTCGCCCTCCCTGTGGTCTCTCTAAATGTATGCTGCTGTTATCTGTGGCATCTGACATGCCTTCAGGCCAAAGTCCAAAACTCTTCAGTGTAAGTACAAGGTGCTCAGGACTGGGCCCCATAGCTTTTTAACCCTTTCTTCCTGCACCAAATTTGTATTCTCCACATAGCTGTTTTGGAATGTACTATGATTTAGTGCATATGTACATGTGTTCTCTACACGTGAGTGTGTTTTCTCTACTTCTGTCCTTACTTCTCTTTTACTTGTTGTATTCTCTGCAGTTAAAAATATCCATTCATTCACCCATGCAACATTCCATCCATCTGCCCATTCACCCATCTGTCCACCTATCTGCCTGTCTGTTAATCTATCATCTGTTTATCTATCTGTCTATCTATCTGTCTATCTATCTATCTACTATCTATCTATCTATCTATCTATCTATCTATCTATCTATCTATCTATCTATCTATCCATCCATTCATCCATCCATCCAAGCACCCACCCATCCACCCATCCATCCACCCATCCACCCATCCATCCATCCATCCATCCATCCATCCATCCATCCATCCATCCTTCCATCTATTAATTTATCCATTCATCCACTGATCTGTCCCTATTACTAAGTACCTTCTATATTTGAGGACCAATGCTCTTCTTATATGATCAATCCTGATCATCCCGCTCCCTCCAGATAAACCAAACATCTCCACAAACATCATGTTGTCTCTTAGACTTAGGACTTCTCAGAACCTCTTCACTTTCTGCCTCCACTCAGTTACCTTCTGTGTTGATGAGCTCTCCAGGAGAAGAATCCTGTATGTGCTCAGTTTGCTGTCACACAGAACCTGACAAACAGGCGCAGTGCTGTTTGCTAAGGGAGGAGTTTTAGTGCTTGAGCCCTGTCATAGGAGCAGGAGCAAAGGTCTTCAGTTGGAAGTCCCATTGTTCTCCCCCTACCTCAGGGGATGTTTCTGATCTGAGTCTAAGATCTGAACTTACCATCAGGGAGAAACACATATTCCAGCTGGTCTCCATGTAGATCCTCTTTTTCATTTTCCTCTTCGATCATGCAGAAATAGAGATGGAAGAACACACCACGGAAGTCTGTAGAGACAAGAGTCTTCAGTCTCTGTAGAGATTAGTGACCCCTGGGATTGTGAAGTGAGTCTTTGGTCCAGGTTTTGCTCTCTCTCTCTCTCTCTCTCTCTCTCTCTCTCTCTCTCTCTCTCTCTCGGAAGATGAGTGGTGGGGAGGGGACAGAGGTTCTGGGATCATGGAGGAGAGAGAGTCTAAGACAGAAGACACACATTGGCATTAGAGTTTGGAGACCCATGTTTTTGAGCTGAGTGTTTTGAGATTGCTATGAGGAGAACTTTGAACCCATAGTAGAAGCTATTAAAACAATATGAGAATTGTACAAAGATGAGCTGGCTTTTAGTAGCAAATAATAAAATGTGGGAAACTTGACTTAGAACTCCTAAGACAAGTAAGGAGAAAACAAAGAAATACTGAGTGCACAGCATGACCTTGATGCATGTGACTGTGTGGAGAGGTGCTGGGGGTAGGCCTGCAGATAATGAATCTGTATTCTTCTCTAATGGGGGTAGGCCTGCAGATAATGAATCTGTATTCTTCTCTAATAGTCAAGAAGACGTATGGTATGAAAATAGATGAGTGAAAGAAAATTATTATAATCATATTTGACTGCTACTGTCCAGCCATGAGATGGGAACTCACTCACTGCTGCAGACTCCCACCAATGGCGGACCTCACGTGAAGCTGGACGTGGCAGCTGGCCCTCTGGTGGTCCTCCAAACACCATTTAGATGGGTCGATTTACATTTTCAGACGATCAGACTATCAGTGACTGTGTATCAACAGTTAGTAAATCTTTGAACAGTTAGTGTTGAGCACACCCAGGGCCAAGGACTGAGGGTCTCTGTGTTGGCAAGGGGATATGTGGCTCACGTCTGTCTGTCCTTCAGCGTGGACTCCAGGAGGGAGCACTGACCACTGAAGTTCAAGCATCCGCTTCCTCTCCATCTCTGGTTTGTACCTCCCTTTTCAAGAGGTATCGCTTTATAACTCTGAAAATAGCCATGGGGACAAAAGAATGGTCCTCCACCCCTCTGCAAGGATCGGGGTCCAGTTTCCTCTTGGCTTCAACTGGGAACCTCTGGGTCACATATTTTGTTAGCAAACTGTTTTATGGATTATGTTTTAATGATCTGTTGTTTTCTTTTCAGAAGGTAAGAGCAGCATCAGCTGGAGCCTTACCCAAAAGGAGGAATTCCAAGTTATTTTTAGGTAACACAGTTATCAATAGTGTGCATGCTATATTCTGTCTTTCTCTGTCTTGTGGTCTCTGGTGTAGGGATGAGGTATGCTGGGTTAAACATTGCCTTCACTTTCTATTTCCCTAGCAGTGAAGTGTGCTTTGAGCATGGAGTCCCAGGCTTTGAAGCAATTATGGCAGCCAGAGAGGAATTACAGTCCTGCTTCCGGTCTTTCTGTGTGCCTCCTGTCTGTGTCTCTCTTTCTGTCTTGTTCTGTCTCTCTTTCTGTATTATCTCCTCACCCTGCTCCACGTAGTCTGGTGGTTGAGTCTATCGCTCTCCATCATATGTTTTGGGACAGGGACTCTCACTGAACCTAGAGCTCAGCAATTCAGTTAGACTAGCTGTCAACATGCCCTAGGGATGCTCATGTCTCTGTCTCCCCAGCACAGGGATTTCAGCCGCATACAACTACACATAATAAAATGTACACACAGGAACGTCCCAAAGGTATCACCTATTGGGTTGGCCTACTAATTTTAGCACCCATCAGTAGTTCTTGCCTGCAACAATGATTGGTAGTGTTGTGTGCTATTCTTCACTAAGAAGAGCTAGTCTTGCTTACGCAAATGACTACTGACAACCTCTGGCCTTCACCTTGCATGTGCAAACATGTATGCACATGCGCTCACACACACACACAGACATACATTCACCACACACACAAAGACACGTTAACTATTGAGACGTGAAGCCTGTGAAGCAGCCGTGAAGCTAGGTCTGCTTCTTGGCTTGGTCCTCAACACTGTGTGCCACCCAGGCTATGTCTTCTTTCCAGCTCTCCAGCTTGTGGTTTTCTTGAGGAGAGTCACCTCAAGATTCTCTGGAGCAGCTTTCCTTCACTTTTCCTTTGCATAGCTCACCCTGTGCCTCAGCCCCCACCTACCAGCCAGACAACCAACCAAGCCACCGGAAAACAACCTAATAAAAGGAGCTCCAGGACTGAAAGGGTGAAGTGCTTGAGTGACTGGTCTCCCAGCGCCTGCCACTGTTATCAGGAGTGTGACTGTTTGCCAGTCACATGACGTCAGCATGACTTTGTGGAGGTGGAAGTCATTAAACAGTTTGACTCTGTTGTTACTGTGGTTTCAGTTTTTTGAGACAGGGTCTTGTGTAGTCCAGGCTGCTCTCAGACTCACCGCAGTAGACGCTGACCATGGCCTCTGACTCTCCCACCTCTGTCACCCATGTCTTAGGGTCACTGGTGTGGGCCACTGTGTTCAGCTTTTTAAAACAAAACAACAAAACGAAACATTTTCTTGGCTTGCATGAAAGAGTTAGCTGACTTCTTTGCTTGCAACCATGGTGTTGAAGGATTTTGAGGCTTTATTTTTCTAGCGATTATTTCGATTGCTACGGTTACTGTCAAGTCACAGTTTTAAAAACGAATGGAAAGGCAGCCTCTGAGGCCTTGTTGCTGTCCATTTCAGTGGGGCCTTTGCTACAAGCTGCAATTTGTGCTTCCTCAGCCGTCCACAACTCAGAAAATGGAAGGCTTTTCTGAAGCTCACAGGAGCGCTGGATGGTCCCGTTCTTGTGCAGATCTAGTGCAAGCATCCAGAGCTGCTGGGAATGTGTGATTGCAATGGCTGTGCCATGCCCCAAAGATGGTACTTCATAGCTCTTCTCTCTCTCTCTCTCTCTCTTTCTCTCTCTCTCTCTCGCTCTTGTGTTCTTATTGCTTTGCCTTCTGCAGTGTTCCCTGAGCTCTGGTGGATAGGCTATAAATGTCTTGTCTAGGGCTGAGCAGTCTTCTGTCATGTGTTTTCATTACCACATAGAGCCACGAGTCTCTACATCTTCACCATTCACTGGAAAGAGAAGCGTCTCTTGACTAAGTCTGAGAGTAGCACTTGTCTATGGGTGTAAACAGATGTATTTAGTAGGCAGCTCGATTGTGTGTTAGGCTAGCTAAGCAATAATATTCAGTTCCCCTATATGGCCTATGATCTGCCCAACCATGTGTATATGTATTTTAAGCCAACTTTATAGTAGCAGGCATGGATTCCCTCCTGTAGAGTAGCCCTCTAATCCAATTAGGAGTGGTTGGTTACCTGTGTAACAGTCATACCCCTTTTGATGTTTTCGTTTCTTGAGCATAGCATTGTATTGGCATCCTGAAGCATCTTTAACAGCTGTGGGTGTTCTGTGTAGTATATGCTGTCAAAGAGGCTTCGGGACACCAAGACATAGGGCCTGGGATGAGGGAGGTAGATAATACCTGTCCTCTTTCTCTGAGTTTAACTTTGTAGAGGCACATGAAGTCCCTGTCTTCTCCACACCCAGGGGACACACAAGAGCCCTATGTGACACCATGGTCTTTCTGAAGCTTATGTCAGCTTTGCTTCAGAGTTGGACCACCCTGGGGTGTGTGTGGAGGCTCCTGGTATTATTTGTTAGGAATGGTGGTGTAGGCAGTCACCTATGGTGGCTCTAGAGCATCTCAGACCTGACCTGAGGTTCCTGAAGACCTGATTCTGTGGAATCTACTTGACTGACCAGTAGGTAACTCACTCAGAGTTACACTCTTAGTAAATACTAGAGCAGGACTTTTTCCTTCACTTTATTTATTCAGTCCAGATAATGTTTGAAGTAGCATTAAGTGACTGTGTTCTCTATAGGAAAGAAATGGGTAATATCTTGTGTGTATGGAGTCTATTCACAAAAGCCCAAGATTTATACTCTGCTCCTTAAAACTGCTGTGTGAATAATATATTAATAATAAAGGAGCATGAAGTGGAGCAACTCATTTGAAATTTTTGTTTGCTCAGTTTCCTTCCTTCCTTTCCAATTTTTGTACATGGGAGTAATCCAAAGTTGCCTTTGCCTTGAGGGTCCCAGGCTATTTACTTCCATTGTTATACAGAGTAAACATTTCCATACTTCTACTGTAGTACTGAACTGGCCATGTTTCTCATTGAACATTTTGGTTCTAATTTTTGTTACAGATGGTGGAGCCTCAATCTTTTATGACACAGTGTCTTAGTTAGGATTCCTATTGCTCTCAAGAGGCACCTTGACCACAGTAATGCTCATAAAGGAAATATTTAATTGAGTGGCTTACAGTTCAGAGGTTTAGTTCATTATTGTCATGGTAGGACATGGTAGCATGCAGGCAGACATGGTGCTGGAGAAGGAGCTGAGAGTTCTACATCTTGATCCACAGTCAACAGGAAGTGAACTGAGACAATAGGCGTGGCTTGAGCATTTATGAGACCTCAAAGCTCAGCCCCACAGTGACACACTTCCTCCAACAAGGCCACACCTCCTAATAGTGCCACTCCCTTTTGGGGCCATTTTCTTTCAAACCACCACAGATGGGCTACAATCAGATGCAGGCACACTATTGTTTTTAAATGTGTATGAAACAAAAGAATTTATTGTTTTATCTTAGGTCCCAATATTTGCAAATATTTAAAAATAAAACAAACAGAAAATAAAAATATCTGAAATTTTGGATACTTCTGGTCCTTTTTGTTTGAATTTTTCCCTTTAAGTAAGTTTTTTGAGTTGTTTCTTAAACTATTAGATTCTCCTTTGAAACTGCCTTTTGTTAAGTGAGCAATTTGTAACATTGGGGTCTTTATTTTGGTGTTTCTGAATCTTAAGATTTAGAGTCTTTTATTATGTTCGGGTTATATTTTTGCTGTGTCTTATTTTTTGCTTAGAATGGTCCTGCTTTTGAGAGTGAAAGGCAGGACAGAAGTAGGGCAGCGTTTCGTTAATGGTGGTAATAGAATTTAGATCCTTGGTTCTTAGGTTCCTGCTGTAGTGCAGCCCAGCAGTTTCCTTCTGTCAACAGAGTCCATTTGTTTGTGTGGCTTTGCGTGTGAGTGGAACATCACTTGACTGTTTTCCATCACCATAGTCCCAAACATATAAACACACAAACAGGACCTGGGATGCTGGCAGCCCTGAGGGCAAGGCTGTGCTGTCCATGTAAATATTACGACCAGACATTCCCCTGAGCTGTCACCTAACCTTTACCAGCGATGAACTAAGCACAAGGGTGGCCTGGCAGAGGATGGGTCAGAGAGGCCTGTTCTACTTAGAGAATTTTCTAGGCCCTAGGATAATAGGACTTCTCACATGATGGGTTCCGATGGGGAGAACAGAGAGAAGGGAGAGGCAATGATGGAGATGGGGTGGGTTTCTAAGTTACAGCTACTGTTTATTGGAACCTACCTTGGGCTGGGTCTCCTCTCTACTGTGTCTCATTTCTCTCCTTTGAAGGGGAGTGCTACCCTTTTCACGATGAACATGACAGAAGTTCTGAGGTTAGCGTTTGTGACTCACTTAAAGTTGTGTTAAATGTGTAGGCCAGCGTTAGAGCCAGCTTTACCCACTCTCAGACCCACGTGCATTTGGGCAGGGGAAATGGCTCAGTTAGGAAAGTCCCCAGATACCCTCCCTCCAAAATGGATGCGGTGGTATATGCTTGTAAAGCCGGCACTGGGAAGGCCAAAACAGCAGATTTCTAGGGCTCACTGGCCACCCAGTCTCACTGCATCAGTGAGCTTCATGCTAGTGGGAGACCTTCTCTCAAAATACAAGATGGATGGCTCCTGAGGAATGATACCTGACCTTTGGCCTACACACACACACACACACACACACACACACACACACACACACACGTACAATTTGTTTTCTTTGTTCTAGTGAAATTATGGCCCTAAATTCATAGTGGAAGCATCTGTTCCTTTAAAGCCTATAAATTCAGATTTGAGCACGTGTGCCCACTCTGTGAGGCTTTATGATGTGACCCAGTCATTGATAAACAAGTATACACCTCTTAGGAAAGATGGGAGGGCCTGCTTCTCCTGGTGTGGGGCAGGAGGATGGTCGGTTCTGTCAGGGTCAGATCCTGTCCTTAGTGTTTTAAGCCTGTGGATTCCCTGTGAGAGCTGCCTTGGCATGGCCTACCCTCTCCTCACTTCCTTTTGTTTTCATTCTTTCCTCAGATCTAGATTTGGATGACGATTTAAATAGTGATGATTATGAATATGAAGATGAAGCCAAACTTGTTATATTCCCAGACCATTATGAAATAGCCCTTCCAAACATCGAGGAGTTGCCAGCCTTGGTCAGTGAGTATGTACGTGGCTGTGTGTGTGTGTGTGTGTGTGTGTGTGTGTGTGTGTGTACGTGGCTGTATGTTGTGTATGGAGGTGGGGTGGGGAAGGCTAGTCCAGAGGAAGAGGAGGATAAAGTGGAGCATATGATTATGATCCCAGCACTAAGGATGGGATGGAGGCTACCCTGAGCTAAATAGCGAGTTCAAGGCCACCCAGGGCCACATAATAAGACCTGTCTCAAAAAGCAAAAACCCCAAATAAGTAAATAAAGACAGAGTATGGACAGGAGTATCTGTCTCCTCCGAGGTCCACAGAGTGGCCTTTCCTTATTGCTGGCCCACACCACTCTGCCACCTCTATTTGGTATTCATTGCCCACGAGGCTGGGCTGGCTCCTATGTCTTGGCCGGTCTGTTGCTGGGATTGTCACAGAATGCACCTCACAGGTGCTGGGACAGCTGGAGAGGGACTATGTTTCGGTCGGAGGGATGACAATGTGTCTGTTAGGTTTTTATGCTGCCCGTCCATGTGAGATTTTGTTTGAAAAATTAGAAGAGTTTGCCTGCTGGAACAGCAGCAGCACAGTTATAGAAAGAACCAGCTGCTCTCACATCCTGAGAGCCTGGGGAAGACACGCTCACCTCAGCTTCGCCCCTCCGGGAACCAAGATGGCTGTCTCCTAGTTTGGGTAGTGAGCCCCTGCCCGCCCCCCCACTCCCTTCCTTTTTCCTGTTTTCTTTTCTCAGAGTCAGTTTCATGGAAGGGTCTTACTTTTCCTGGAGGAACTGGGTGCTGGGTTGGTGGCAGGATGGGCAAGCTGCCTGTTGTATTTGATTCTGGAGTCCTCAGAGAGGTCACAGGGCTTCTGTGACCCAAGATGTCCTTGCTTCTCCTCCCTTGCTTCCTGTGTGGCTTCCAGCACTCTCTCCTCCTCCTTCTTCACTGTGTGCACAGATACCTGTTTTCTGTAGCCTGGCCCCAGATAGCAATGAGACAAGGTGGGTTCCATTTAAACATGCCAGTTCATTTTCCCCTCTTCAAACTCCACCAGAACCTTCGACAGACCCTGACCAGCGAGAACCATCTGCTCAGCTGCTCCTGCCAAAAGGGGATGCTTGTGCTTAGAGTTTCCATGTTCAGAGGGACAAAGTTTCTAACGTAACCTATTTTCTTCTAATCTATCATATAGCTAAATTTAAGACCATAGAATTAAGAGCATTGTGCATCTAGCTGCTGCAGCCCTCCCACTTACTAAATGTAAGGCATCCTTTTTCGCATGAGGTGTTCAGTGAGGCTTGTGGAAATGAATGACTGTCGCTTTCTCGGATTTCCCATGCTGACTCATGACTGTTACCAGGAATAAAATACATTAGTGGATAAAACGGTCTTAACCTGAAGTGTACCAACACTTGTGTCTCTAATGCTGAGAGTTCTTTTATTTTTATTTTATGCATATTGGGGTTTTGCCTGTGTGTCTGTGTAAAGGTATCAGATCCCCTGGAACTGGATTTACAGACAGTTGTGAGCTGCCTTCTGGGTGCTGGGTATTGAACCTTAACCCTGAGCCATCTGTCCAGCCCCAATGCTGAGAGTTCTTATGTTCCAGTTCAATAAAACTCTGGTTTTGCTATGGAGAAGGAAGTAAAGAGCATATTGTGAATAAATGTCATGAAAAATTTTCATTCATTCACCTTTTTATGTGAAAAATGTAAATATTAAGAAAAAGCCCCAAACCAGGCCCAGTGAGTCATGCTTGTAATCCCGCACTGGGGAAGCTGAAGCAGGTGGATTGCTAGGAATTCATTGCTACGGAGTAAGATCCTGTCTCAAACAAACAACCAAACCCCAAACCAAACCAAACCACACCACACTAGACCACACCACACCAAACAAACAAAACTCCACCAAACCAAACCAACCCCCCCAAAACTCAAAAAACAAATGAAGAACCATCCCCATACACTACTGTTAAAACATTCCTTTATTCAGAGTGTAAGTTGAAAGGTTTAAGAACGTGCCCTAGAAATCCCAAACTAGCAAGATACATAAAATCCTTAATAACAGTCTTTGAAAGTACTTTAAATGAAAATTTGAATAAAATGTCTTTTTAAGAAATGGTTTAAAAAATGGAAAACAAGAGAACTCGGAAGGTGGGCCGGTTGAGAGGGAAGCCTGGGTTTGCATCTCTGATGCTGGCCACAGACTTGAGCTGCACCAAAGACTGGTTAGTTCACCTTCTTTCCATGCATTTGCTGCTAGGTTTTTAGCGTTTGAGGATTTTCTTTTGAACTTTGAATTAAAAAGAAAATGCTTTGTCTAAAAAGAGTGTTCAATGTCTGTGTTACCACAGAATACTTTGAATTACCCTGTAAGTCCTACCAGAGAGCAGACCACCTCTGAGTGAAGGGGCTCATAGCGGGTACCCCGGAGCCTAGAATCTGGCAGTAGGGTGCTTGTCCTGTTCAACAGCTCTGAGTGGTGATCGCTACAGTAGACCCCCACCATAGCTGATTCCAGGCCAACAATGAGGTATCCCTGGATGTATTGGGAAGAAAGACTACTGTTTGGAAGTTGCCACATCCAGCTAACACAGAAGTAAAAACATCAGGAGCACAGGTGACTGAAAGTTACAGTAAAGCAATGAGGAAGGATCAGAGTTTGAATATGTGGCCTTCTCAAGGGTAATTAAGTCATTTAGCAAAATTTCTTACTTTTTTCCTTTTTCAAACTACTTGATATATTTAAAACATAATCTTAGGGCAGAGTGCCGATTATACTGTGGATGGCCTTTTGTTTTGTTCTGCTCTGAGACAGGGAGGGCCTTGCTGCATAGCCTAGGCTGTGTTGCATCTCAGAGTCCTCATGACTCCTGGGTTGTGTGCTGCGATTCATATCTGCTGCGGGCTGCAGGAATATATCATAAGAACTCAGCTGGTTATGGCAAAGTCACTACCTGGAGGGATCAGGGAATTCCTCCAGAGGAAGCCAAATTCCAAGGAGTTTTTGGTGTTACTTGGCTTGTTATATATCAGTTGTATTCTGTTATGAAAAATCATGTGTGCCTTCATAGTTTTCCCAATTGACTTTTCCCTAAGAAGGGCTAACAGTGTGGACTGATTACTCTCTGGACATACACATTCCAGGTATTTGGAGAACAGCCTCAGGAAAGGCTTTCTCTGGAATCAGCTATCTCCCTTAGCCACTTTCAAAGACTACAGGAAACACCGCCCAGGTGGGCGCCCAACTTCTGAGGATAACAGTGATAACAGCCCACAGGAGAGTCTCCTGATTTAAGGTAAATTCCACAAGGAGACACTGCCCAGGTGGTTGCCCAACTTCTGAGGACTAACAGTGATAACAGCCCGTGTGCAAGTCTCCTGACTTAAATTCCACAAGGAGACACCGCCCAGGTGGGCGCCCAACTTTCAAGGACTAACAATGATAGCAGCCCACATACAATTCTCCTGACTTAAGGTAAATTCCACAAGGGGACACCACCTAGGTCAGGTAGACATTAAGACATTCCTTCTTACAGCCTTACTGACTTTAGACCTCTAACTCCTTACCTAACCACTTCTAGGAATATTTAGATAACCTGTGTGCTAGCAGCTATGTTCAGCCAGAACTCCCAGTTCAAGCCTCCCTGTAATTATCATCATTGGCAGCATCCGGTCAGGTCCATCCATGGATGGAGGAAAGTACCTTATCAGAGATACCTCTGTACTCTCTAAGAACAGACTTAAGCATCCAGGCTACCCGTTTGAGAAGGCCTGACGGATGTGCCAATTAAGCTTAACTTCCTCCTTTCCCAAATCTTACCTCTAGTTCCAGATCTCCCTTTAACTATCACCAGAGGCATCTACCTGTACACAGATTGCCTAGAGACTGAGCACACTTTCCCCCACCCTGCAGAAAAATGGCAGACAGCTTGGACAGATAGGAACCAAAGGAAAAAAGAAGACCGTTCTATTTTCTCCCATTGACCTAGCTGTTGGTTAAAGGGCGCTGCTGCTCCTTGAGGCTGGCTGCCACCTGCAGCGGCCATGCCGATGGGGGAGAGTGCTGGAGGAGGAATCACAGGCCATGGTGATTCCTTTTTAGAGCTTTATTGGGAGGGAGGGAGAGGGAAAGAGAGGGAGAGAGAGGGAGAAGAGAGAGGGAGAGAGGGGGAGAGAGAGAGAGAGAGAGAGAGAGAGAGAGAGAGAGAGAGAGGGAGAAGAGAGAGGGAGAGAAGGAGGGGGGGCAGAGAGAGAGAGAGAGAGAGAGAGAGAGAGAGAGAGAGAGAGAGAGAGAGAGAGCGGAAAGAGAAGAAGGAGGTCCAGACGGAAGGAAGGAGTGGAAAGGGAAGAGAGAGACTCACAGAGGGACCACCCACTTTTTAGGCTGGGATGCCATCGCAGGCTGATGATGTAATTAAGGACAGAATCCTTACACTAGCAACTTACAGATTTTTAACATTTTTTACCAAACACATTTAAGATTATAGTTGTGCACATAAGATCCCTCTCCTTAGATATTACCTGAATTTAGCCTTTAGTTAATTCATTAGTCACTTCCCCTTTGGGTTGCAAATGGTAATTAACAACTATTGCCCCTCTTTGTGATTCTTATCACCCCTCCATTTTATCCTGATAGCAGACAATCACTGCCTGAGGAAATTCAAGCTGGGTATCCTGGGTGGAGGGGACGATTGTGATTTTTGGGGGATATATAACTGTAAAGTAAGAGACGATGGGGAGAATTAAAGTGAATGGACTAGAGCTCGGTGTGCTGAGGTTCATTTTTCCCGAAAATAGTCCTTGCCATTAGTAGTTCTCTCTCCTGAGCCCCTGGGATGTATAATATTGAGGCTGGTTCCTCTAATATTATACAAAACATATCTGTCCTCTCAAGCACTTAACATCTTTATGATGAAAACATTCAGAATCCTTTATTATGTGTGAAGTCTGCGCTGTGTATGAGTACCCCGAATTCCCTTATATAGCCAACCTCGTACTCAGTAACCAACCTTCATCTTCTGTCTCAGTCCTCTCTCCAGCTCCAGGTAACCACCAGACTGCTAAAGTTAATGGGATTAGCTTTGTAGTGTTACACACACTAGAGAGCATGTGGTACTGTCTTTCTGTGCCTGGTTGATTGATTTTATTCAACGTAGTGATCTTCAGTTCTATGTTGTTGCAAGTGACAGGGTTTTGTTCACTGTCATGGGTATACAGCATTCCATTGTACGCAAGCATCATTTTCTTCCCCGGTCATCATTTGATAGGCACTCAGTTTTTTCTCTTTCCTTGACTATTGTGAATAGCATTGTGACAAATATAAGGATACTGAATTTTTTTAAAATTAACAGTCAATTCTCAGGAGCCAGTTTGAGCCAGTTCCAGGTATTTGAGGCCTCTGAGATTTGAGGTGGAGTCCAGGTCTCTTCATTTCAGTCCAGCATCAACGCCAGGAGAACGAACTCAGTGTAGTCACAGGAGCATCAGCTTGACCTTGGCTGAGGTCCCATGAAAAGGATGATTTCTGAAGACACTAGGCCCATGTGTTATGGCAGCCCCAGGGGCCTGAGGAAAATTGGTTGGATGTCTTCTGAAAAGATATTCAAAGAAAAAAAGATTTTTATCTGACTGTTGTAAGTCAAAACCCTTGTCAATAATGTGTGTGTGGTATGTGGAGAAAATGCATAGAAGGATGGCACATGCCAGGCAGCTGGGATAACAAGCTCCTGCTGGCAATGGGAAGCCGCGCTGAGGACACAGGTTGCAGGACTTCCGGTCCAGGCATGGAATCTGCCAGGTGGCGGGAGATACATTGTGATGGTTGTTGACAGGATATCTCACTGCAGGTTGTATACTGGCGGGAGATGCATTGTGATGGTTGACAGGATAGCTCACTGCAGGTTGTATACTGGCAGGAGATGCATTGTGATGGTTGACAGGATATCTCACTGCAGGTTGTATACTGGCAGGAGATGCATTGTGATGGTTGACAGGATATCTCACTGCAGGTTGTGTACTGGCGGGAGATGCATTGTTATAGTTGTTGACAGGATAGATCACTGCAGGTTGTATACTGGTGGGAGATGCATTGTGATGGTTGTTGACAGGATAGCTCACTGTAGGTTATACTGGTGGGAGATGCATTGTGATGGTTGACAGGATATCTCACTGCAGGTTATACTGGTGGGAGATGCATTGTGATGGTTGTTGACAGGATAGCTCACTGCAGGTTGTATCCATGACAAGATGAGTAGGTGTCCACTTTGAAAGGTCTAACTATCCACTCATGCTACTAAGCTTTCTGAGGCCCCAAAGAATGTGATTGGCTCTTTTTACTCAGCATACATTTTCCAGATTTATTCACATTGCATCATATGTTGGAATCCTGTTTCTTTTTATTGACAAGTAAAATTCCATTGTATGAACATCCTACATTTGGCTTTTCATTCTTTATTGACAGGCATCTGGGCTGCTTTTGTTGTGTAGCTAACATGCTATTACAGCTGTCTTTTAATCCATCCTCTTGTAACGACATGTTTTCAACGTCTCTTGGATATACCTCTAGCTGTAGATCTGCTTGGTCCCGCGGCAACTGTTTGATCATTTGAAGGATGACAGGTCTGCTTTCAAAGTGGCTGTACTGTTACTTTCCAGCAGAATTTAACTTTTATAGGAGCTAGAGAACAGCTTGCAGTATTAGGCAGGTGTGTTGAGAGAGAGCAGAGGGTACCGAGCAGGGCATCACACCTGCTTGTGAGCGGACCCATGTAGCCCAGGAACACTCAGGCATGTCCTCTGCCAACCTCATATCTGCATTAGACTAAGAAGTGGAGCTGTGCTGTGTGCATTCCACTCAAGTGCCCTTGACCCCATGCCATGTGAGTCGAGGATATTGGATATCTTAGTACATTAGGAGGAAACACAGCCCTCGGGCAGATTCTGGGCACTCCTGTTCCTGGCTTGCTCCCTCACCCTTTTCACCCCACTTGCTAAGTGGTAGGGATTATTCTGTGTGAATGCTAAGCTGGAGCTGATGACTGGAATTTGCTTCCATGTTTTCTTGTCAACATCAGTACCCAAGCCCCATGCCAGGGTCCAGTCTAGGCAGATGGAGGGGAACGGACCTCACTGTGGTGTAACTGAATTCCCACAGCGAGGCTGCTGCGTTTCTTTCTAAGCTTCTGTGTGTTCATGTCTGGAAGCTGGGTTTTCACTGTTCTCCCTGGCTTTGCCTCCTAGGTAACAATTGCATGTGATGCAGTGCTCAGCTCAAAGTCGCCTTATAGGAAGCAGGATCCAGACACGTGGGAGAATGAACTGCCAGTATCGAAGTATGCCAGCAATCTGGCCCAGCTGGACAACGGGGTCAGGATTCCTCCCAGGTGAGAGTCTGCTAGAAAAATGGAACTTTAGCCCCCCAAATTGGTCAAAGCAACATCTGATTTTCTACTTTTTCTCTGAATTAGCAGTTTTAAATATTTTCTTAGTAGATGCCTTTTATTACAAATCCAATAAAAACTGGAAATTGTTCATAGAAATAAGTCAGACTCCGAAAGACAAAATCTGTTTTCTCTCATATACATATTTAGATTTAAATTTATTTAAGTGTTTACACACATATACACATTTGCACATTTGTGTATGTACAGATCATGAAACTTGAAAGGGGGTCATGATGGCAGGAAGAGATCTGAAGTGATGGAGTAAAAGGGGAGAATAAAACCCACAGGATATGAAAGCAGAGGGGAGAAGTGTGGGCATGAGGGGCGCTGTGGAGGAAGACTTATTAGGACAAACTATAATGATCCACGTGCCTGGAATGTCATAATGAGACCCACCATTTTGCATGCTAACTTTAAAAACTGTTTTACAAAAGAAAGAAAAAAAAAAAACCTCAACAAAGATAAAAACCTCTTCCTGAATGTGCCTAGACCTTTACAGTGGTGCTGAGTGCTCTCGGCCCTAAACCTAAGCCCAGGTCTGTAGCTAGAGTTTTCCTGCCTGGCCCACAGTCAGGACAAATCTCTGTCACCCGCTAGTCCCGCAGCCTCTCAGACCCAACCAAGTAAACACAGAGACTTATATTGGTTACAAACTGTGTGGCCGTGGCAGGCTTCTTGCTAACTGTTCTTACAGCTTAAATTAATCCATTTCTATAAGTCTGTACCTTGCCACATGGCTCGTGGCTTACCGGCATCTTCACATGCTGTTTGTCATCATGGCGGCTGGCAGTGTCTCTCTCACTCAGCCTTCCACTTCCCAGCTTTATTCTCCTCCTTGTCCCGCCTATACTTCCTGCCTGGCCACGGGCCAATCAGTGATTTATTTATTGACCAATCAGCAACACATTTGACATACAGACCATCCCACAGCACAGGTCCTGCCCTGCAGCAAAGCTGGTGTTGGCACACATTTGCAGCTCTGTGCAGGGACGTTGCACTTGGCAGCACCAGCTGCACAGTGCGTGGGATGGTCAGACATGCCAGTTGAAGCTGTTGTCCGCTGGGACCTCACTGGCAGTGGAGTGGGTGAATCAACACTCGGCCCCCTCCCGCTTGGGGAACGCTTCTCCCCTGCAGTTCCTCATCAGGCCTGAGCTCAGGCCCCGTAGTCGTCGTGGTCACTTGGTGACATCTTGTGCTGGCTTCTGCCTTTTCTTACTTGTCCCCATTCTGCTGGGTTCAGCTCCCACACATCCAGATCGATGTGTCTGAGTTCATTCTCAGGGGTATGACTTGAAACAATGTTGGGCTGTCTCCAGCAGGCCAGAGTGCTCAGTGGGATTCAGTAGCATCTCTGAAGGCAGATCTCAGGGGGAAAGAACAGATGGTGCTTAGGAATATGTCCAGTTTCATTGACCCACGACCACACTGTTGTCTGTTTTAAGAAAGTAGTTTTGCATAAGGCACATCACTGCTGGACCTCATTTTCTACCTCTGTAGAATTTTCTAGAATTAGATGATAGGACTTTCTGCTAGCCATTTGACCCGTAACTGGCATTTAGTGTTCAGTTTGGGTGACTTATTTTCTTAATTTAGAATTATAGTGTAGTAGGGTACATCAGTCATCTTTTATAGCAGACGCTTGAGCTAGATCAGCCATTAATGGAGGGAAGTTGGTCTTGGCTCATGGTTGGCAGCATCACTCATGGTTAGTTGCCATTGCTTTTAGTCAGTGGTGATACAGTGTATCAGGTAGGGTATCTGCGGTGGCATAGGCTGTTTAGCTCATGGTGGAGTGAAAAGAGAGAGGAGGGGGGTCCTGAGTTCTAATGTTCCCTTTGAAAGTATTTCCCAATGGGTGCTGGAGAGGTGGCTCAGCAGTTAAGAGCACTTGCTGCTCTTGCAGAGGACCTGGGTTTGGTTCCCGGCACCTACATGGAGGCTTAAAACCGTCTAGCTCCAGTTCTAGGGGATCTTGTGCCTTCTTGGGTCTCCACTGGCACCAGCACATACACAGTGCACTTACATACATGTGGGTAAACACATGAGCGTCTTCGTACTCCATGACAGAATGGGCCCAATCTTGTAGACACAACCACTATGAATTCAAGAGTGTAGTGGCTGTGTCGTGCCCAGAAGACAATGTTCCACATATTCTTTCTGCAGTATTCTGCAGTATTCTGAGCCCTAGGGGAGGTGATGTAGAAGTCCCATGTATGGCTGAGCATTCAAAAGCCTCTTGTTTTCAGCATGTTGACCAGTTATTAGTCTCTGTAGTCCCCGCTGCCCATTGCAAAGAGAAACCCCTGTGACCAAAGCCGACTGTACCAATGATCTCCAACCCCAAATGTAAATGTTGAGACAACTGTTTTACAGGTACATTATGTCCACTTGCAAACTATGCTGACTTCATAATGCCACACTGAGGACCGTGCCTTTAATATACAGGTCTTCCTGGGACATGCCCAAGTTGGATTACAGCATAGTTTTAATCCACGTCAGTTTTACCGTGTATGGGTAATGTTTTGGAAATGTCGTCCACATGGGATCCTCCACATTTGCACTTTGTTTAGGAGCCACTGTCCTGTAAGTGGGAGTTTGGAGGACATGACCTCTTTCTTGCCCTTCATATCATGTGCCATTTTTTTAAAGAGCCATGCCAGAGGTGCTGATAGTCTCTGGCTCAGTCTGGGAGGCAGGCGGGGCACTGGATGGATGGTCCTGTGCTCTGGATGGGGAGCAGTACTGTCCTGGGGTGAGAACCCGGTGCTGCCTGTAGGAGATGTTGTTCATTTTTCACACGTCAGTGTTTTTCTGATGTGCTAGCTGTTCTCACTGTTCTCTGGTGCCTTTCTAGTGGCTGGAAGTGTGCCCGGTGTGACCTGCGGGAGAACCTCTGGCTGAATCTGACTGACGGCTCTGTTCTGTGTGGGAAGTGGTTTTTTGACAGCTCAGGGGGCAATGGCCATGCACTGGAGCATTACAGAGACATGGGCTATCCTCTGGCCGTGAAGCTGGGCACCATCACACCCGATGGGGCAGGTGAGTATGGCTTTGCATGACTGGCATCTCACATTTATCAGCACAGGTCTGAGACCTGGGCTTTGCCTCTCATTAATTGTGGAATGAGTGCTTGAGATTCCTCATCCTGGGGACATTGATGGAGCTTCTCTTGTGTTTGTTCATGAGCTTAACGCCTTTAGCCCAGCGGTGTTCAGTAAGGTGTGAGTAAAATTAGCTGCTGTTGTTTATCTCATGGCTGTGGGGACCCGAGCAGGAAAAAGGATCTAGGGAGTGAATGTGCATATTGAATCCTCTGTTAAGATGGCGCAAGACAACACTAGAATTCACTGTGGACATTATTAGTACCATTCAGGGATGAGTGATACATGAGAAATCAGTGAGGCTGTAGAGGTTCCTGGCTCAGTGGTAAAGACGATGCATCCAAACCTGACAACCTGATTACTGAACAGTTTGGTCCTGAGACTCACATGGCGGAAGGAGAGAGACAACTCCTACATGTTGTCTACCGATTTCCATGTGTGCTGTGGCATGCAAGAGTGTGTACCTGCAGATGCGTGTGTGTGTGTGTGTGTGTGTGTGTGTGTGTGTGTGTGTGTGTGTGTGTAAATAGATAGATAAAAATGTGAAAATAAAATCAATAAACAAAAACATTTTCCTGTGCTTCGAGCCCCAGCAGTGATGATTCTCATACCTTCAGAAGGTTCAGCTCTCCGGACAGCCAGCTGTGTTGTCCCTCACTGCTCTCAATCCATCTTCTCTAAATGGTTGGCTTTGGACCACATCTGTACACCGCATTCATCCCTCCCACCATTTTGTGATGGAAAAGGGAAGTAATACCAGGTCAAGACACAAAACTTAAACACTGAGCAGTGACCATGAGGACCTGTCATCTTGCCATCTTGGAAGTTTTTAACATCTAGAGCAGCAATCAGCCCTGGTGTCTCTATCTTTTCAGCTTTTGTGTCTCTTTCCTCTCTGTTCTAAGCTGTGATGATGTCTGTCTGTAGAAGAGTAAAGACGCCTGTCTTCTCTCTTTCCTCTTTGTGGTTTCCTGTGATGAGTTAGCTTGTCTCAGAGTTCATTGGCCAAAGTCTTCCTACTCAAGAGTTGGTCTTCAAGTCTGACCATTGCTTTCCTATGAGCTTAGTTTCTCATTCATTTTATGGTTGAGGGCTAGCAGTTAGGTTGTGTTAGGATTCTTTTGTTTTACATTTTGGAGAATTTTCCTACTTCCAGATTTCATAGAATGGTATTATTATTATTATGATGATGATGATGATGATGATGATGATGATGATGGAGATAGTTGCACTGTATATCTGGATGGCCTCAGACTCACTATGTAGTTAGACTGGCCTCGGACTTGTCATTCTCATCAGGGAATTATTTAAACTCATAATTTGAACAGAGAAAAGTAGTTGCAAAAGTATGAGTTGCAGGTATGAAACATTTTCCTTCCAAGAGAATGGGTCTGTAATTCAACTCTTATTCTGAGTGTTCTGGGATTTAAAGAGAAATTCAGGCCATGCATTGGGGGGTCCACACTGCAATGATACCGACACGTGATGGCCAACACTGTAACAATACCGTCTGATGGTAATGAGAACTCAATAATGGGGAAACCGGATACAGAAAGCCTTCTCTGTGTTCTTTAGGGGTTACAGAAAGGTGTGCAATTCAGGAATTTGTGATGATTTGAATGAGAAATGTCTCCTGTAGGCTCATGAACGTGAACACTTGATCCTCTGTTGCTGGCACTGTTTGGGGAGGTTATGGAACTTTTAGAACATAAGTCTTGCTAGAGGAAGTGTGTCACTGGTGGTGGGCTTTGAAAGTTTATGTAGCCTTCCTTTACTTCCAGTTCACTCTTGTTGCTTCCTCTGTGAGGCTGAGATGTTATCTCTCAGTTTTCTACTCTGCACACCTGTTGCCATGCCTCCCTACCATTATAGATTAGCCCTATGGAACCATAAATCCAAATAAACTCTTCCTTCTATAAGTTGCCTTGATCATGATATTTTATCATTACTAAAAAGCAATTACTGCAAGAAGAGAACATTACAGTTTAGACTTTCCTATGTTCTGTGCCGTATTGGGCAGTGTTTTGTAGAGCCACGACTTAGGGTTATTATTGTTGCAATGAAACACTGTAACCAAAAGCAAATTGGAGAGAAAAGGGTTAATTTGGCTTATGTTTCCATATCACTGTTCATTACTGAAGGAAGTCAGGACAGGAACTTAAGCAGGGCAGGAACCTAGAGGGAAGAATTGATGCAGAGGTCATGGAGGGATGCTGCATACTGGCTTGCTCTTCTTGGCTTGCTCAGACTGCTTTCTTATAGAAGCCAGGACCACCTGCCCAGGGATGGCACCACCCACAGTGGGCTGAGCCCTCACACATCAATCACTAATTAAGAAAACACCCTAAAGGCTTGCCTACAGCTTGATATTATGGAGGCATTTTTTTAGTTGAGGTTTCTTCCTCTCTGATGGCTCTAGCTTTTGTCAAGTAGACAAAATTAGTCAGTGGAGACCAGTATATAAGAAACTCAGTTCTCAGAACAACCTGACTGTGATGGTTTCTCTGGTCAACTTGACAGGACCTAAAATCACCTATGACATACTTATGAAGGGTTTCCAGCTTGGGTTAATTTACTGGAAAGACTGACCCTGAATGGGACCACCCCACAGGTCCCAAACTACAGAACAAGGAGAAAGCAGGCTGAGTGGAAGCATTCATCCCTGTCTGCTTCCTGAGTGCGGATGCCACATGACCAGCTGTCTCACACGCCTGCCGCCTTGACTCCCTCACCCTAGTGGAACCATACCCTTGAATTGTGATAAAAATAAATCTTTCCTCCTTAGGTCACCTGTGTCAGGTGTTCTGTCACAGTAGTGACAGCATCAACACTTCACCTAGCTACAAATGTGGGTTGTTTACAATTCTAATGTGTAGCAGAGGATCCCAAGGAGCATAGCCTCTGGCTTGGATTCCAGAGTGTTAGCACCTAGGCTTTGAACTGTCTTGTGTGATGTTACCTTTTGTTACTGATACCTTTTGTTTGAAGTGTTTGAACCTTAGCTGAGTTCTTCCTGAAGGGTTCAAGGCCTTAGTGAGGAGAGCACTTGGAAAACCGAGAGTTCTTGTGACTGAGAATTACTCAGGTATTTGGTTCCTTCAGGACTCCAGATAAGAGGTTTTGGTTTGTGCAAACTGATTTGCTAAGGTGTAAATTATGTAACAAAAAATGCTTTTTGTGAAGCAATGGGCAGTGAGTTCACCAGAAGCTGGCACCCTTGCTGCTCTGCTGCTGGGGGATGTCTTTCTGTATGCTGTGAATATATGTTGTTCCCATTGGTTAATAAATAATTAACTGCTTTAGCCTATGGCAAGGCAGCTTAGAGGCAGGCAGGAAAGGAGAGAAACAGGAAAGAGAAAGGCGGAGTCTGGGGAGATGCAAGCCAGCTGCCCAAGGAGCAACATGTAATGGGATGCAGGTAAAGCCATGGAACATGTGGCAAAACAGATTAATAGAACAGGTTAATTTAAGATATAAGAGGCCTGCCATAGATCATACAGTTTGCAAATAATATAAGCCTCGGAATGATTATTTTATAAGCAGCGGTGGGACTGTGAGGCCTGGCAGGATTGGAGAAAACCTTCTGACTACATTTGGTACCCAACATGGGACACAAACCCAGGACCCTCAGATTAAGAGTCTTATGCTCTACTGACTGAGCCAAAATTCACCCTGGAGTGACCCTAACTCTTTCATGGACCTGCACAAAACAGAATACCCACACTAATAGTTTGAAGTAAGGGTTATGCCTCACTCATCTTTGGATTCTGCACAAAATCTTAGGCATATTAGGCGAAAATATTTTTGTTAACCAACTGGTAAATAAGTATTTAAGTAAATAATTAGCTTCTGTTTAAGTGTGTCTGTCATGATAACACAGGTTAATTCTCTTTCCTATGTATCTTTTAAATTTATTTATTTAGCATGTGTGTATATGTGTGCATGTGTGTTGAGACTAGAGGTCATCCTTGAGCATGGTTCTTTAGGCTCCATTGCTGTTTTTTGAGACATGGCCTCTCTTTGGCCTGGAGCATGCTGATTGGGGCAGGCTGCTGGCCAGTGAACTCAGTCATCTACCTGTTTCTTTCTCTCCTCTGTTGGGATTACAGCTCCATGTCACCATGCTTGGCTTTTTTAACGTGTATCTGAGGATCAAACTCAGATCCTCATGCTTGTGTGGAAAACACTCTACTGGCTAAGGCATCTTCCCAGCCCCAAGATTCTCTTTTAAAGTTGTCATCATTTTAGTTACACTAGAGTTGTAACTAGAGTGACATCATTTCTCACACACTAGAGGTGTATGAGAACACCCCTTCCAACAAACCCTGGATGACTTTGGGTGTAATGAGTCTTTCTCTGTTCCACTAGCCAGCTCCCAAATAATGACACGGAGACTTGTTCATTATGAAAGCTTGGCCTTAGCTTAGGCTTGTTTTTAACTAGGTTTTATAACTTAAATTAACCCATTTCTGTTAATCTATATTCTGTCATGTACTGCCCATCCTGCTTCCCCTGTGTCTTCTCCAGTCTCTGGCTTTCTTCTTCTCCGAGTCCTTTCTGTCCCCAATAGTCCCTCCTAACCTCTTCCTAGCTATTGGCTGTTCTGCTTTTTATTACACCAATCATAGCAATACATTTTCACACAGTACACAAATATCCTACAACATTTGGGGATCATTAAAAATCTTTGCTGATCTGCCATGTTACTTGAATTTGCTTTTCTACTGAGGTCAAACAGTTTTCATTATATTATTTATTTGATTTTTTTTGAGGTAAGGTCTGGCTAACCTTGAACTCCTGACCATCCTGCCTCTAAATTTGAGTGTTGGAATTACAGGCATGTACCACACACATTATATTCTTGGCTACTTGTGGTTTTTTTTTTTCTTGAAAATTTTAGAGTATCTTTTTTTTTTTTTTTTTTTTTTCTGATACAAG